GGATTGCAGTTGTGATGTTGAAACAGTCGAGAAAGAAAGCTTTTATAAGGACGAGAACGAGAAGCAAATTAGTATTAAAACGGTATTTCTCCAGAAGACAGACAAATATGACTCATACTTTAAACAACCGAAAAAAATAGAAAGTTCCTTGTCGCAAAGAGATATGGAGAACTATTTAAGAAACCCTTTTGGTAAAAGTAAGAAAAAAGGTGAAGAAAAAATCACGACGTTCTCTGAAGAAGAATTGCAAAAGGCGCGGCGTTCAACTTCAGAATGTAATTTGGGGGGAGGCGAGAAACTTGTAGGTGACAAGAACATCATGGGGTCAGCAATGGAGGAAGAAATAGATCACAACGGGTTCACTTTTTATTGATTGGATAGTTTTGTTTATTCAAATCAATTGAATTCAAATCAAAGAAATCAATTTGTCGAGTTTAAACGCCATATCTTTTTGGTAGAAGATAATTTGAGGCATTCAAAGACTTCTCTGACTCTATTGGAAGTATTGGTGAAGTACTTTTAATCGATTCTTTTAAAGACTTATTCCAATACTCTCGTAATTGTGCCAAAGTTGGTGGAACGGAGTCATAATACTTCTCAAATCGACTTTTGAGTGTCGACTTCTTCTTTTCTCCCGAATTTAAAGACATGAAAGACTTGTTCTCGGGATTTCCAAGAACAACTATTGTTGATGGTACTGAGGAAGTGTTCTCACTTGAACGACAAGTGTCAGTTAAAGATTCTTTAACAATTATTTTCGGTGAAGGTAAAGTCTCATTGTTGAGTGTACTAATCAGTGGCATTACTATACACTTCCGATCTTTTTGCCGCTTTTGAAAGACTTCCATTTGATTTTGAAGTGTGTTATCTTCACCAATTTGTTCAACTGTTTGATAGTCTTCAGAGCTCTCTTCTATGTCATTAATTAACACTTGTGCTTCAGCAAGTTTTGTTTCAAGACTCTGCAATAATTCATCGGTTCCTCTTTCAATTTCTTTGTCTTCTTCTTGTACATCAAACAAGCACAACATCATTTGTCCAAAAATAGTCTGTAATTGATCAACAAAGGTTTCTAAAGATAAATAAAATGCATCAGCTTGGAACGGTTGTTTAAAACGGGGCTCTTGATAACTATATAATTTGACGGTCATTCCTTCGTCTTTAATTAACATAGCACCCGCTTTGTTATTTCCATTGTACCCAGCTGACGAAAATACTGTGAACATGATTGGAATTTGATCTTCATTTTCAAAGTCGTGTTGTTGGACACCATCAACACACTCATGGGCTCGGATGATTGCTCGCAAATCATTGTCTTGTAAGAAATTAACAACTGCGTTGTACCCATAAAAATAAGAACACTCTCGACTCTTATTTGGTAAGTAATTCACATCAAACCAATCGTCATTAATATCTCCATTCTCATACTTCTCATCATACACTTCATACTGTAACGGATCACTCCACAATAAATCACAGAATACGCCAGTATCTGGAACTTCAACAAATCTGTTAATTTGTTGCAATTGATCGATAAATTGAAGCGAAGGAGAGATACCCCCATGACACAAGAAGAAATTACCAAGTGAAAGACTTAAGAGGACACACAATGGAAGTGTCTTAAACAACTCAATAAACTCATTATATATTGTGCTGTTGTATTTCCACACACATTCCCTTTCAAATCCAAAGATGTGTGTCATAGAAAGTGATTCATGGTTTCCTCTCAACAAGACAACTCTATTCATTATTACATTTGTGTTACACTATTATAAAATATTTGATTTAAATAGAAACAAACTTGTCAGGTTCATTGATCTTCATACAAATTAATGTTATCATCGTCTCTACAGAGTATTTTCCTCTGTCCACATAATCACCAAGAAAGACTTTCACATGGTCAATCTCTTTCCATTGGTCATCATTCAATATGTTCAGAAAATTGAAGTAATTCCCATGAATGTCTCCAAAAACAACAGTTCTTTTATTTAATCCTACCATGTTTGGCTCACTTCTAAATATTGTCTTTGCTTTAGAAATGATGGTTAAAAGTGCTTCCTTACTTACCATTTCACCATGTTGAAAATGTTCCTCTAGGATATCTAAGTCATATTTCCCGTTAATATAAAACTCTTTGTGATTAAAATGTGTGTTTTCCATCTTCTTTTTAAAGATGTCTTGTAAAGCTTTTGAGTATAAACAGAAAACAGATAATTATCACCTATTTGATAACATTTTTTATAAATTATATATTTTTCTTATTAATATTACCATTTAAAATCTAAACTACCTTTTTCCACTTTCCTTTGACTTTTTTACAACAGATATTTTTATATAGTGTCTTCTTTATTTGTTTATTCTTTCAAAAATTATTTAAAAATAATCGGAGAAAAAATTTTGTTTTTGTTTATTTTATCCAAAACAGGTATTTTTTTATTTTAGCAACAAATTGAAAAAATTGAACTCAACAAACAATTGAATTCAAATATCTTTGAATTCAATTGATTACTTGTGTCGTATTTTTTAATCGTTTTCTTCAATGTTTTTAATACTATTATTTACCAGATATGAAAGAATCACCAAAACAATGAAGTATCTCTTTTTATCATAATCATTCAACTTTTTCTAAAAAGTTATTATCAAATAATTTCATCAATTATTTATACATGATTTGCTCCTTCACCAAAACACATCAAATAAATTTGATCAATTTATAATAAAACAATAAACTAAATTTATTTCATATTTATTCGTTTATTTGCAATCCAAAAAACAGAGATTGGGAATAAATGTGTATTTTGTAATGTAAATTTGTGTTAAATAGTTACACCCATAAAATGTATAATTTCCTAAAGTAGAGATATTGCTTAATATTGTAATAGCTGATAGTTCATTATTTAGATAAAAACACCCTTCATCTATTCGACGAATGAAACTATTTCTTTTAAGTTCATTAACCATATTAAAAGTTCCAAATTTTAAAACGTCAGTCCTCTTTAAAACAATATTTTCACATTGAATACCAATCTTTTTCATTTGCTCGGAGAACATAAAACTCACTTCTGTTTTATAATTTACAATTGTGCCACCAATTTCCAAATTTTTTAGAGAAATACACCCCTCAAATAAGTCTGATTTGAGTAAGATATTTTTGTTTTTAAAAACAGCCTTTTCGAGGTTTGTACAATCCATAAATGCACTGTCATCAACACAACAAAGTGTTTCGCCAAATTCAACTTCTTTTAAAGAATAACACTTTCTGAAGGCAAAAACGCCAATATGAGTCACACTTTTTGGAATGGAAATTACGCTCAACGAAAAACATTTAAAAAAAGTGCAGTCGGGTATTTTTGTAATTCCTTCACACAATTCAATTTTGGAAAGATAAAAACATTCCATGAACATCCCAACTGAAAGGGTTGAATATAGAGGAACGCCTGTTAAAGAAAAACACTTCGAAAAACATTTTTTCCCATAAATCACATGTTTTGAGTCACATTTTACACTTTCCAGACAACAACAATTTTCAAACGCAGATTCACAAACTTCAACCAATAAATTTGGAAGTAACAATTCTTTGAGAGACACGCAGTTTTGGAACGCTTTTGAACCAATAAAAGTTAACTGTGTAGACAAAACAACTTTTGTGAGACAAACGCAATTTGTGAATGACATTTCTGGTATCAAATTAATATGAGAAATATCAATAAAGATAATATTTGAATTTGAAAACGAATTGCTAATTAAACAAGAAATTTCAGTAGGAAATAATATGGAAGTTATTGACAAATTAAGTTGAGAATAAGTTAATAAAAAATGAGGTATTGTATTAAATAATTTATCTTTAAAATACGTTGCATCTTCAAAAATTTTAACTTTCTTTATATTTACGCAGTTTCCAAATATTTCTTTTTCTGTATTTAGAAATTCAACGTTATTGAATTTGTATCCAAATTCCTTCATTTTAAGTGAAAAATTGTAACTCACGACGAATTTGTCCATATTATTGTTTTTCACGTCTATTTTAGTTAAATTGCCATCTTCTGGGAATATATGTGTTCCAATTTCATTGAGACTTTCTGGAAGAACAATTTCTTTCAAATTGGTAAGACTTTTAAAAGTGTTATTTCCGATTTTCCGAATTGAGTTTGGGATTATTAATTTAGTCAATGAATCACTAAAATTTATGAATGTATCTAAAGTCGTAGTTTCTTCTTGTGGAATGTAAAGTCCATTTTTAGACCACGGTTGTTGTACTTTGTTTTGTTCAATCACCTTTTTAACGTCTAAATTTAGACTCTTCAAACCATTTTCAACGACAATAGTTTTCAACCTTGTGCAGCCACAAACAAACCTTTCAGATAATTTTGTAACTGAATTTGGAATTGTTATTGAAGACAACAAATGCATAAAGTAAAAAGCATTTTTCTCGACTTCCACCACACTTGTTGGAATTTGAAAACTTGTTAAATCATATCCTTTGATCATTTGACTTTCCAATTTTGTGAAATTGCTTGGAAATACAATTTGTGTGAGTTGAATAGGGCAAATTGGTTGTGGCGACATTAAAAATGCGTATTTTGGGAATATCACATTTCTTGACCCCAAACAACAAACCGCGTTTGTTCCATTTAAAACAACCGTTGATGGGATAAATAATGAAGACAAACATTCAAACGAATAATAACCACTTTCTATAATATCCAGTGATGTTCCCAAATCAGCTGTTTTATAATAATTTGGATTTGAAAACTCTAAATTGGCTATTCCATTATAATCCAAATACCTTTTACTTTTATTGAAAAAGTCGTCATCTTTTTGGGAATGCTTTTCTAACCCACTTAAATGAAATTTTCTTAAAATAACTTCGTCACTTACAGTGACTGGATATTTAAATACTTTTTTATAATTTGTAAAACACGTTGGAATTTGGATATTTGTGAGTGAAGCGCACTTTTCAAAATTACCAACTCCATACAACACAACTTTTTCATTCAAAAAAATCAAATCTTCAAGTTTGCTACAATTAGAAAATGCAAACGCACCAACATTATTTAATGTTTTTGGGAATGTCAAATGTCTTAATGAACAACAATTTTTAAATGAAAAATTACCTATCAATTTGAGATGTTTTGGCACAACAAAATCCTCTAAATTGCAACATCCTGAGAAACAAAAATCGAGAAAGTACTCTATTGAGTCGTCAAACATCACTTGTTTTAAACATGAACACCCCTCACAGATATGTTGAGGAATTACAAGTTGTCCACAAAATGTGATTTGTAACAAATTAAAACATTCCATGAAAATTGAACCCTGCAAAACGTAATTGGGGCTAATTGTAATTTTTGGTAGTTTTGTTCGACAAAATGCACTTTCTCCAATAAAACGCAAGTCACTCGGGAAATTGATTTTTTGAAGCATAGTACACGAATAGAACAGTTTTTCTGAAATAAATGAAAAATTGTTTGGAAGTACAACTTCCGTCAATTTGGAGCAATTAGAAAATGCCGATCGTTCAATGGAAACAAGAGTTGGTGGTATTTCAACGAACGAATAATCACAAAACATGCAAGCACTTTTTTCCAATTGAGTGACTCGAGTTGGGATGTTGAAAACGTCCAAACTATTAATATCACGCATACCTTCAATTCCTATCACAGAAACGGTCTTTGGAATGTATTTTATTAGTTTAGCGTCATTTCGTGTGAATTTTACTTTTTTGTATATAACATTCGAGTCATTGTTAGTAATAAATTGTTCATAAGTGACGGGATATAAAATCCATTTCCTTTGTATATTTTCTATTAAAAAGTCCAATGGAGTAAAGACTTGTTGCGTTTGGATATAAGGAAATAAATGAGTATTTTTTCTTGTAATTCTGATCGGATTAGTTCTGAACCGGTCGAGTAACAATGCATATTTCTTACAAACTTGAATAACATTGGAAAAGTCCTTTTCGTCGTCAAAATACAACGAAACAATTTGCATAGAAAACACGTCGATTTTTTTCATCGCACACAAATGGATTTATTGAGTTTTTTATTAGTTTAAAAAACATCACAAACAACGAATTAATAAACAGTTGACTCACAATATTTAGTCAAGTTAGAAGTGACCAAACAAACTCTCATTCTGTTTCTCTATAACAATGTCTTTAATGTTCGAATTGAGTTCTTGACATCCGTCAAACGCAATTGGTTCGATTTCGACTTGTCCCCAATCAACAGTTATACTCCGTAATTGAGAACAATTCTTAAACGCACTTTTCTGTATCAACACGGCATTCCCCATTTTAACTTCAATCAATGATCGACACTGCTCAAAACAGGACTCTGGGATGATCTCTATTTCCTCCATTTTCATATCAGCCAACATATAACATTCTGAAAAACATGAATACCCCAATTCCCTCATTCTCTCCCCAATGACAATTTCCTTCAATTTTTTACACTGTGAAAAGCACATTTCTCCAAGATAACTCACTGTATTTGGAAGTTCAATGTGCTCCAAACTTACACATCCATAAAAACACCTTCCTTCAATCCTCTCTATTTCGCTATTAAACACTATTTCTTGCAATTGACAACATTCACAAAGTAAAGAACCAGGTAACTGTTTGGCGGTGTTCTGACTGAAGTCAATTTTAGTCAGATTGGTACAAAGAGCAAAAGCAGAGTATCCCAATCGCTCAATTTCATTAGAAATTGTTATGTCGCGCAAATTACAACACAATTCAAAGCAGTGATTTCCAACTACTTTCACATTCAAAAGCGCCTCATTCCCAACACCACTTTTGGAATAACAAAATTCGCCCAATTCAAAGACATCCTCCGGCTTTGTGATACCAAACTTCTCTCTGTCGTACTTGGTGTACACCTTCTTCATGCACTTCTTCCCACTCTTCTCGATGATCTCCCCTATCCAGCAAGGGACGTCTGCATTGAAATAATTATACTTCAAGTCGACCACTATCTCTCTAAGCTTTTCACAATATGAGAAACAGTCTTCTCCTATTTTTGATATCAAGCAATGGAGATATATCTTCTCCAAATTCGTGCATTGATAGAAACATCCATTTCCCAGTTTAGTAATTGTTGAGGGGATGACTACCGTAGTTAGCAAGTTACATCTTGCAAATGAGAAATTGCCGAGTCGGTGAACGTTCGGGGGGAACGGGACAAACCGAAGAGTTGAAGAGTCTGAAAAACAGTTGTCTCCAATAGCGCTGCAGATCTCTGGTATAACGGGGCCAAACTGTGCGACGTCTTCACTTGAATATTCGATAGAGTACACCTCGATGTTCTCATAAGCCAATTCCAAAGCTTCTGTTAGACTTGTTGAAGTCACTTTAATGACGCGTGAGACTTGGTTTGATATGATAGGAAAGTCTGTTGGATTATAAAGGAGTAAGACGTCCATATTAGGAAAGAGTTTCAAGTGTTTGACAGGGACTGGGTTGTACTCAAAGAGTGAAAGTACTTTCTGGTTACTCTTCGTAACATTTGCAAACGAAATCACATCCTTCGTCGTTTTGAGATACTTCACTATTTGATATTTCTCAGACTCACCCAATTTGTGTTTCATCGGTTTCACCATCGACTTTGCAGACGACATCATTGTGGATGCAGACCGACATTTTTGTAATGTAGCGCGTGGTTTCGGAGGGGTTGGGGGTGGCAATTTGAGTTGAGTGGACGCGTAATTGCCAATCAGAGGTGATGGGCTCCGGGCTTTCTTTATTGGCGAGAAGGGTGTTTGAAAAGTTTGTCGCGAAAGCTCTTTAAGAGTCATAGAAAGACCAACGCGAGGTTTTGTTTGCATAGGTGCCGAATTTGGACTAGTCGACATAATTCCTTACAACTGGTTATTTACAGTGTAAGTTTAGTTTTTCGTTGGAATTTTTCTATTACTTTCAAAGGCAATTTTTCTAAAGAATTTTCGTTATTAAAAATGTTTTAAAAATTTTGATTTGTATTTTTCATTTTGTTTTGTAAAACATTTTTAGTCGTTTTTTGTTATTTAAAATGTTATTATTGTGAACATAAGTTACACTTCAAAAAAATAAGTCGTCAAGTCATAATAAAAAAGGGGTGATTATATAGTAAAAAAACTATTTTAAATACTATAATTGTGTTGATTTTTTCTTCGTTTTGACACAAAAGTGTATAGATGAAGCAAAGACTCAAAAATAGTTAACACTGGCATTATTGAGATGATAAGATACTACTAAAATGTTCACAAAAATATGATTATTATGACAAAAAATAACTTCTGGTAAAACAAAGATTATTTGGATTAAAAAAACAAAAAACAAAAACAATAAATCTGCGTGTAAAACCCGGATTTTGTAAAGTTTTTTTACGTATTTGTTTAAAGTATTTGTTTTGCCAAAGTATTGATTTGTCGATCGATTGTTTTCATTTCCCGTTGTTTTTCGAATTATTTATACCTGTAACTGAACAAATTCAAACCTCAAAAACCAAAGAGAAATAAATGCATGTCAAATGGCTGTACAAAAACGCCGAAAAAAACTTGCAGAAATAGATCAAAATGATCACCACCCCTTCGGTGGCACATTTTTGGGAAAATTCAACCGAAAGAAGACATAATTGTTACTTATAATAATACTTTTTACCATCAAAAATGCCAACTCTCCTCTTGCTCTCATTTCTACAAAAGTTCAAAATGCTACGAAAAACTAACAACCAGGGTTGTGGCGAACTCCAATAATCTCGAAAAGTTTGCATTTTTCCTTCATGAGCGCTTTTTTTAGTCGATTTGCCGCTCGCCAATCTTCTTTCCACTGAGAACCAAATGCCCACAGCTGTTGAATAAAAATAAGAATTGTTATTCCCTCAGTTTTATTTTTTATTCATAATATATGAATCGGCAAATAATTACAAACACTTTTTTATTCAAAACTGTGCACTTCTGGGATGAACATTTTTAGAGCAACGAAAAAGATTCGACACTGATCCAATTTGCATTTTTAATGTTTTTCGTCGATTATTTCCCATCCCTTTAAGGAAAAACGATGCCGTATACACCAAAACACCATTCTAAAACTTGAATGACTAATTTTCTTAGAAAGACCGCAGAAAAAGAACAAATCAAAACCAAGAATAGAACTTCAAATAAAAGTCCATGTTTTAGTGTGAAATTGATTGCGAGCCATAATTAGCATGGGGTTATTGTACCCTCCCCAGAATATAAACGGGGGTTCAAAAAACTCAGACCACAACCCCACAATGGCAGCCTGTAGATCACCTTCTTCGTTCACCCAGACTATTGCAGACTCCTCCGACTTAGAGAAAGCAAACGCACACCCCTGGAACGCTCCAAAGTATCTGAAGACTAAAAAAGAGAACCAAAATTTCGAAGTCTATCAACAAGCCATGTTAATAGCTTTGATCAATTCGCAAGCTTCCGTCGTATTGGAGCGCCCCATGAAATACTCGAAGATTAATATCACATCGCCTCGCATTTCTAAAATCATCTTCTCTCCAACTGACGAAATCAATGTCTCCCAATTGGTCGACAAACACTGCAAATCAGTCTTTGCCAAAGAGATCAGCGAAGGGATTCCCGAGTCGACTGCGCTCAGAAGACTTGAAAAGAATCGCAAAGTCTTTGTCCAGAATTTACTCATCGACATCACTCGTGAACTCGACTTCGAGATATCAAGTGTGATGGCAAGAAAAAGTGGCAAGGCGATGCAAGTCGAGAGAATATCGATGATATACTTCTCGGGGAATTGTTTATATAACAAGAATGAAATCGTTAAAATGGGAAATTTACTGAACCAATCTTTCATAGAAAGAACTAAATGCGAAAAACCTATTGAATTACAACCAAATGACCAACTCATCGCTCAAGTTTTACTCAATGCCACAGAAACCGCTTAAAGTGTTGCTGTTCGTCTTTTTCATCATTAAATAGTTGTCTTTTTTTCATGTTGGTTTTGGTCGTTATTTGTTATTGGTATGACGAATTTAAAATGAATTTTTCTGAACATTTTGAAATAAAAAACATTTTTTTACAATCGAATGGATTTTTTTAAATCATGTATTGCGATGACGACTTCTTTCAATTTAAATTCAAAAGAACAAAAAATGTTTTTTTCTCTTTCTTTATCGTCCCAATTTGTAACAGGAAAAACATGGAAATTACATTTACAAATAACTGATCTTTTGTTTTGAATGGACCTTTTTTATAAACTGTATTGAATCTCCAGCTTGTATGCTCTTCTCTTTGTTATATTTAATCAAACATTCTTTTCTTTTTTGTTATACAAATACAGTCATGCGAA